GACATAAGATTCCTCGTTAAAAGCCTTCTAGTTCAAAAAAAATAAAACTTTTATAACATAGTCCCTACAGGGACCAAAGGGCAAGAAAGGGTTAAGTCAAAGACAACCAGCGCAATTTTCATGGAGAAAGACATGAAAAACTGATTTTCGCTCCGGAGATGGCTCTAGCCGTTCTTGCACTAAGAGAGTTGTTTGTAGAAAATCCAATTTCACACAAAAAAGTCTCTCGACCCTACCCTGGAAAACTATTCTTTGATAGTCAAAAATCGAAATTAAAAAAAACCATAGAGAAAATAAACTTGGATTTTATTAATCGAAAACTTACCAATCAAACAAGTAACCAATAAGGGCGAAATCGATAAACCGATAACGATAATATCGTATCGTTCCATGCCTAGGCACAAATTTCGCTCTCTCACAAACTTGTGTGATGACAGTTCGGGATCGTCGAAAAAGAGGATATTCATAGCCCAAATGCTTGAGTAGAAACTGTACCCGATTCTGAAGTTTGCTTCTCAGAACGCTCTCGCGTGAAACGGTGATTTAGAATGTAACAAAGTGCATGAAATTATAGAGCCTTTGCAAGTTTATTGCAAAACTGAAGAAAATTTGATACGATTCGGATATAAATTCTCACTGAGTTTGACTGGAGTTTATCGCTTATTCTTCCCTGTTGTTTCAGGAAAAAAGGGTTTATTATGACGAAAAGGAAAATAAACGACAACAATCTCAATGATAAAAGACGAGCTTTTATTCCCAATAGAGCATGATATAAAAACAAAGAGCGTACTTGGTGATACTGCACTTTCTTATTTGCAATATTCTGATAGATTAATTACAGGCTTTCTCTAAGTTTTACTTTAAGTCTCTTTCTGAATCATTTATGTAGTCTTCAGCTAAAATTTATTATATATTTTCTTTTATTTGAACTATAAACCGCATTTCACAAAATACTCAAGACATTTACGACTTATCACGCAACAGGGTAGTCTTTCTTGTTCTAAATTGAACGAAAAACGTTTTCCACAAGCGCTGGCTTTGTCTTCGAAAAATTTCAGTCGATGCAAGATTGTGTTTTATTATTCGTAATCACAATCTATCTATCTCGTCATCGTCTGATAAAAAGCAAAGGACACTCAGTACCTTTTGTTCAAATGAAGTGAGGTCCTTTGTCCAGAAGGGCGATAAGTCGATATTTAAGCGCAGAAGGGATTGGTTTATCTGTTCGCTAATCTGTTCGTAAACTTGTTTTGCTGACATCAAGTACTTATAAGCTGATTCAAATTGACGTTGCTCTATATAAATATCAGCTAGTTTTTCATAACTTTCACCAAGTGGAGCTTGTTCGTAGTGTATAGTAGGACACAAAGAGCTTTCTAACTTGTGCTCCCTGTATTTTACCATGTATTCCAATTGTTTTTTCCTATACAGAAGTGCAGCAGCGTTGTCTCCTTTCTGTTCATTGTACATTTTCGAAATACTTTCATAATGGCAAGCACAGCGATAATAATCAGGAGGACTTTGTTGAAGCAAGAGAGAAACCGATTTTTCGTAGTTGTTCACAGCTTCCTCGAGGAGAAATGCTGCGTTTTGCAAATTAGCTAAATCTGCATAAGCGTCTGCCCATTCCTTTGCTTCAGGAGGAAGCTGTCGCGACATTTCTTTGAGCTTTGATTCTTCATACTGGACGGCAGTTTTTCTGTTTTTCTTTTCTTCGATATCATCAGCGCATAAATCTGCCTTCCATCCATACATATAAATTAGACGGTCATACAGTTTTATTTTGTCCTTGTATCTCGCCAATGTTTTAAGTGAGGAACTGCAGTAGGCAATTCCAACATCATAGTGCTTATTAGCCGATGTAGTGTCTTTGATTCCATGGTGATAAATGTCACCGAGACTATAATGAATATAACCAATATCAACAGAAAAGTCTAATTCAGGATCAGACAAATCTTTGCCATATTTTTCTAATGCATGTTCATAATTAGAAACAGCGGTACGGTAATCAGTAATACCGTTGTTGAAAGAATCGACAAAGACCACACTCTTGCGGCTAAAACCATCAGCAAGAAACACATGTTTTGTTGCCTCAAGCCAACGTTTTTCCTTCGGAAAAAGGTGATATAATTCATTGAAAATTGTAGACAGTTCTTCTGCCGTACCAGAAATTTTGTCAGCTCTCAATCGACTGAGACATTCTTTCAATGCCTGTCTCTCATTCATTTTGTCGAGATGTTCATTTTCATTCTCAAACGTTGACTGATCATGCACGAAGGCCTTCATTGTACGGAGTCCTTCATCGTGGTCATAAGAAACAATAATAACATTTATTTTGGTTCCTACCATGAAAAGTATTTCGCGTTCACTCGCAAAGTAGGATAATTCAGAGATATCTCCAAAAGGAAGACCCTCCTCATTAACATGCAATTCAATCGAAAGCTGCACTTTGTCACAGCCTTCTGGAACGGAAGAAGACTGAAGAAATCTTAGCGATACGGAAGGATCCAGAGACGTAGATAGAAAACTGTTAATAACATAGGTATTTAAATTGATCATGCTGTCCATCCTTTTAATTTCTTCTAGTGACATTATTTGTCCTCGATAGACTGTCACGGTTGGCTGATCTGAATGTTCACTTTTAAATTTTCCATGCTGTTTCTTGAGTTGCGTATAAATATCTTTGATGTAGAACCCAAAGAGAAAAACGAGTTTAATGTTCTGTTGACGAAGGGCTTTGTTTAAAAGACGATACAGAAATGTGTCTCGTGTATACCACCAAATCGCTTTTTCTGGAGTATAGTTTGCTTCAAACTCATCTATGACTCTCAGTTCATTTTCTTTATTTTGATAATACTCTCTTAATACTGATATGAGTGTCAGACGGCAGCTACCCGGGTATGGTAAGTGGCACAAAATATTCATCAAATTTGTCCAATTTCTCCATAGAAAATCGTTATTTGTTGTATTATTTTTTCTCCCAATATCACCGAAAATTCCATCTTTTTCGTATTGCAAGAAGACTTTAACATCATTCTTAAGATTAGTTAGCAGCAGCTGTAAGTCGGTGTGCACTCCTTTCACCTTGTTTTAAAATAAATGATAGAAAGATCAGAGAAAGGAAATGAAATCGTTTAGAAAACGATATTGTTTAACTTATATCATCTTTCATAAATAAAATAGCTGGACTTAGTTTACCAAAACTGAAACTACAATTTTTCCTTCGTCTAATCTGCACAGTTCACAAGTCAAATTCCCTAACCGATAAAGTGCTTTTGAACACAATCTAATAGAATGCAAGTAGCTCATAATGAAGTTGAAGTTGAATTCGTTTTGGTGACAGACGACTAAGTACAGAAAGACCTTCAGTTTATGAGTTCAAGTTTTAGTTTTTGTGTACTCAAAAACTGAGTAGACTATAGAATCGGTCAGTGTGTCAGGCCGTCCCGCCGTTTGCGCGATGACTCCTAAAGAATATTAGCAATTGTGATGAAATTTTGTGCATAGAATTATCTTATCGATATCTCGGTCGAGTTCGTAGATGTGAATGATTGGTCAACATTTTCCTACACTTATAGCAAAAAATATGATTATCTTCTGTGCTTTTCTATAGAAACAATGACCTATCCCAGTTTTCATGAGCAAAATCTTTACTTTTTGAAGTAAACATAACACTCGGATTTAAATCCGAGGTTTTCACGTTTATTTGAAGACGTTTTTGCGTCCAAAAAGCCCGTGTGAGAAAATGACCTGTCGGATAACTTGACGAAATTTGTAACAGTTTTGCAAAAAGACCGAAAAATTGTCCGAAGTATTTTAGCGCCGCCCGTCTACAGGATTACGTATTTTTACATACGGATCTTTCAATCAGTCCGAAAAATAACTGTTGAAAGAATCTTTCTAATTAATAAACTGGTTTTGGCTCGATTTAGAGTGAACAATAGCT